CTCGAACCTGGTCTTCAAGTACAGTGGGCGAAGTACAGAGGTTACTTTAACGCTCCTCATCACCCCACAAAATTCTGGTTTCAGATTTAATTTCTTCCAGCGTCGAAGTCTCATCCACTGATTCATGCTTTTTACACTTTGCCAGGGCTTCAGTACTTTTGCATATTTCAATACTTCAAGTAGATCTCCATTATGGAGCACTGATAAACTGCAGTACTTTGCCACCATGAAATTATAACCTCCTTTAAAATATCCCGGTATTTTCTCCACTGTAATTCCAGAAGTTTCTTCTGTTGCTGCCCTGGTCTGCTAAAGATGAGGCAAATCTACAGAGTCAGAAACAAGCAGTTCTGTTTAACAGCTAACTGTAATGGCTCAGAGACTCTAAAAGAATTAATTCCCTAAGCTACCTAATGCAGAAGTCACTCCAGCCTGCTATATGAAGGACAGGTTAGCTGGACTGGGATGAAATACCAGCTTGGGACTGTGTAGCTTCCCTAACATGCTATACTGAGCCAAGTTACAGTCTCATTACAGTACAACAGCTCCCTGAAGCACTTTGCCTTTCCTTTTCAGCTCCTGTTTTGGGACTTGCTTGATCTCTCCTAACAGCATTATCCCTTAGCCTCCCCAGGTCCTGCACAAGGAGAAAGTTTCCCAGGGGCTGCAAAAGTTTATTTTACTGGGGTGCTCTCCTGCTCTTGCCCTCCTCCTGGACAAAGGGATGCTGTGTCCTGCTCACCAAAGGTCATGACCAAAGAAAAGGTGAACAGGGGTCTGGCTCGGTGCACTATTCACTCAAAATTCTCTAGACTCCTGAAGTCATTGACTGAATTGTTTAACAAAAGTCTCTTTTTTCCAGCTCGGTTGTTTGTTTCTATTTGTAATATTTGACTGTGTAAGGCAGACTGTTGAATAAGTTCATTCAAAGCATAGAGCATTGTTCTCCAATATTAATACAACCCATACAAATGGGTTAGATAAGAGATGAACACTGTAACGTTATTATGAATCCCAGCAGAGACATTTGTAAGCATAACACAGAGAAATTCAGTATCTCATTTGGCTACATGGCTGGCCTCAGGCCTGTGTTTGTAGGATATAATTTCTGTTAAGCAGCCAATATTCCTCATTAACATCTCTCTTCGATTTTTTTCCAAGTACCTCTTCCGAACAGGGAACCCTTCTGTCTCTTTTCCGTAAGAAGAGGTTTGAAAGTTACAATGACCTAACTTGTATCAGAAATGGAGAGCGGCGTGGCATGCCAGTATTCTTTGCTTGGTGCTCACTGCCAGCCAAGAATTTCAGAGGACCTAAGTTTTTCAGCAAGCCTGGTGGGAAGTATCAGGAGCTTGATCGAGCAGATTGCTCTAAATACAGCCCAGCTACATTAGTACAGCTTATTTATCTACAGATATGACAACTCTGAAACTTTCTTTTTCTGTTGTTGCTGAGCTTTTTGTTTGTATTGTTCCTTTTTCTCACCTATAATTTCACTGCGGTCACTAGATGGCATCTTAGTTCTGCCATGGTGCTTCTGCATGGCAGGCAAGGATGGACAAGTCAGAGCTACCGACAACAAAAACCTGGATCCTGATTCAGCTGGCAAACTTTAGCTCAATTTCTGTTTACTAAGAACATAACATTCTAGAAGCGGTTTTAGTCTGTTAGTACAAAGAGAAACCTTGAAAGAGATATCATGGATAGGACTGAGAGTGTTAAGAGTGTTTTTTGAACTTGAACATAGACTGGCCTGCCTGAATTACCTTTGATATAGGAGAATGAAAACTTAGCAATAACACTATTAGAGTTTCATTCAGGGAACAGATGCATTAGCACCTCTGACTGTTAACACAGAGCAAAACCAGGAGTTTTTCCCTTGCAGCCCAGTGATGTGTGTTGAGTCAGATGTGATGACTTGCAAAATAAGGATGAAAGGGAAAGTGTAATACCAATTCTGAAATAGATTATCTGGTTCATAGGGGAAAAAAAGTGCTGAGGTCAATTCTGTTTTGGAATAGAAGTGATTTCATAAGCTTTCTTAATAGTAGAAGCATTGAGAGGACTGATCTCATCCTTTAAAACCTGTGGTAACCAACATCTTTCTTACAGACCTCTCAAACTTCAGTTTTATTACATCACTTTCTGGCCATACTTCCCTTTTTTGACTGTATTTTTCTTGCCTTTTAAGAATGGAGAAGGCAGATGCCAGAAAGTAAATTCCTAATCATAGAATGGTTTGGGTTGGAAGGGACATAAAAGATCATCTAATTCCAATCCCCCTGCTGCAGGCAGGGACACCTTCCACTACACCAGGTTGCTCAAAGCCTCATCCAACCTGGCCTCGAACACTTCTAGGGATGGGGCAGCCACAACTTCTCTGGGCAACCCGTTCCAGTGCCTTACCACCCTCAATGTAAAAAATTTCTTCCTTATATCTAATTAAAATCTATCCTCTTTCAGTTTAAATCCATTGCCCCTTGTCCTATCACTACATGCCCTTGTAAAAAGTCCCTCTCCAGCTTTCTTGTAATCTTTGCCCAGTTGACAGAGGATTTCAGCAGTTCATGCCAGTAACCATACTTAATGTGAGCTTTAGAAATTTATTATGCATTGTATTAGTGCAGTGTCCCTTAACTTTGAAGGAAATAAACTCCATTTGCTAACCTTACCTCTGCTCAGGTCTTAAGGTTATAGTCTTCCTAAAGATCTTGCTACAAGCAGGACTAGAAGTTCCTTCTGCAACCCTGACCCTCAAGATTTCCAGCCAAACTCCTCAGAGGCATTACTGTCAGGAATCAAGATGAAGACAGAGAAACAAATGCTTGTATACAAAGTTAATCTGTGCAACACTTCTTCCCGTCCCCCCCCCAAAAAAAAACCCACCCCACAGTAGCTCAGAGCTGATAAGGCCACAGGCATTGTCTGGAAGAAACACAAATGGCAGAACACACCATTTACAATTCAGGAGGTGAACACGTAACCCACTGCTGCCACCTTTCTCCTCCAGCACTAATTCGAGAGAAGGATCCCAGGAAACAGTTCTGTTGGTGGCCTGGACACTACAGCACACTGACATCATGTAATTGGATTGCAATGCTTTATTGATCAGATAGACACATTTGGAAGGGCGTAGATGGACTCAGGATAGGTAGACAAGACCAGTGCTCTGTCTGCAAGAGGCGAAACAGGAGATGCTGGTTTTAGTGCAAGGCTTGCTCACTAGAGCTGCTACCTAACTCCTGTGACTTCATAACATCAGGTAGTTCTGGGCTGCTTGAGAAGGAGTCAATACGTAATGGTTCAAAGGTGCCATTGCCAGATCTAAATAAAGCCAAGCCCATTGTGGCAAGAACATGAAGATGACAGCTTTGGCTGCTTAAACCACAGTCTAACAAAGTCCTATCATAATCATCCAGCAGCTGGTCATCTTTGTAGAGCTGCTGCTCCTCCAGTGGCCTCTACCACCTTTTCCAACTCATGCTCAGTTGTTGTCTCTTTGGCCTCAGTGAAGATTGTTGTCTTGTGACATTGAAACATCAAGTAGACATCCATCGCTACCCTAGGGCTTCCTGCAGTCCTCTGTCACTGGGAAACAGATTTCAGTCCTCTTAGTGAGAAACCTGTATTTTCAGGAATAGCTGAAGTCAAGACAGAACTGTCACTAGACTAATGGATCCATTGGGGACAAGGAGAGAAAAAACCTACAGGGAGTTGCTCTGATAGACAAAGATCCTTGTGCTCTACACAAGAAGAGCTATTAGGTACTTAATGACTTTTGTCTTCCTAGAAAGATATCAACTAGCAGAGAGCTTTTAATACTGTTACTGAGCATTTGTGTTACTTTAGCTTTTTGCCTGAAAAGGTTTCATCTTCAGTTTGCTTTGGGCCACATGCATGTACCCAAGACCCCAGGAGGAACCAAGCATGCAACCCTGCACTCAGCACAGAAAGGATGGAGCACAGGAAAACGCAGCACACAAAGTGGTTGGATTTTGTTGGTTTCTAGTCTGACAAGAGATTCCTTTTCTCCTTCACATGTTCAGTGAAGACAGGGAAACTGATAATGCCATCCATTAATTTGACAACTCTAAACACTTTTGTATTTAAGATATTTTAACCTCCTACTGTAGTTTCAGGAGGTTAGTTGTCAGAATAGCTCATTGCCTAGCACCAATGCTAATAGCAGAGACTCGGCTTTGGAGTAATTCTTCTCCCTCAGAGTTTGGCTAGGGTGGCAGAGCCTCCTACAGAAGCAGAGTGGGAAGGGAAATCAGGGCTGGTAGCATTAGCTTTAAAGGGAGCTCTTCAAAAGCCCAGCCATTTTAGGAGTACTTTGTGGTGGTGCCAGTGTAGTTGCTTGTCACATGTGAAGCAAGTCACACACAAGAGGTTAAAGGCTCACTTCAGTTCAGAAACACTGAAGTGAGTCAAAGACTTTTTCCCAGAAATGTCATTACTGGTTGCCACAGAGAAATTCAGGGCCAGCATGGGTATGGATCCATCTACACCTACACACCAAGCCCTAATCCCAGCTCCCTTGAAGAATAGCTGCACTTCAGGGATTTGGGCTGCTCTTGTCTTTGGGGTAAGAGGGCCAAGGTCAGAGGTTCATGAGCCATTGCGGCTCCCCATAACCCCAATTGGAACCTCCTTGAAAAGTGCAGCAAGACACTCCTGGATGAAGGCAAGAAGTGGCAGTGGTGTTCTACCTGCAGGGCTGCACTGCTGAAAGAAAGCAGAGCTCTCGTTTGCTAGGTCAGAGGGAGAAGCGGGGAAAAAGCCCAACCAAACAAATAAACAACAAAGCTAACACACCACAAACAAACATATAACCTTGTTTTTCTCTGCCTTCTGCACTTTGATATCACTGTCACGTGCAAGCTTTCCATGACAAGCCTAGGCTAGAGTTAATCCCTCGTGTAGTCATTAAAGACAAATTACCCCAAAGGTAATAACAGATGCAACAACTCTGTTCTTCCACTATTTTTTTTGCCTGTCTAGCAGGAAGACAGACACTGCTATTACAGCCTGACAGAGTCCAAATCGTCCAACCCTGAGCAGTGACCCAGGAGCACTGTCATTTAGGTATGGCCATTAACTGTCTCTATGTCATGCCACCTCAGACATACACATGTGTCTGTTCCAGCTGGAGCTCCCTGTGCTTTGCAGTGTGTTCTCCAGGACAGGGCAAGACATAAAGATGTCATGAGTCCAACACCACCAATAAAACAAGAGGGAGCTGCTCCGGACTCAAACTCAGGTCTTGTTCATGAAGGCAAGTGAGACTCTGGGATCTAAATAAGTTTGTAGATTGAGACCAAAGCTACCCCCTCCCCAGTCCTAGGGGAAAGAAGGAAGGGGAAAAGCAACAGTTACCTCTCTTCAAGGTAGTGGAGGTGTTACACAGCATTTGTGTTATATCATTTTGCTGAACAGTTTAAAGAAAAAAAAATCAGGCCTTCTGCATGAGCAGCAGTTAGAGAATACATTTTTTGGTTGGTCCAAAGGGAGAGAGTTCAGAGACACAGCCAATCTGGACAGACAGGAGTGAGCATATAGGCTAACCAACTTGAAGTAGTTCAAATTGAAAATAAACAAAACCCCTACACTTACAAAAGACCCAACTTCCATCTGGTGTGAACTGATGGGAAAAGAAAGGGAGAATTAGAGAAACACGTTTAAAATTTCTATTAGAGAATTTGGGCAGGGTGCATTGGCATAACCTAAAAGCATGAGGAAGTCAATCTTGAATCCTTCGTGCAGAGGGAAGACAGTACTACCCACCATGAATGGTGGCCACACTGATGCTGCTGCACCTCTGATAAATAGCAAGCTATATTCTCACTGACAAGGGCCAGACAGCACAGGTGGTGCTTTTGGGGAAAAGATGAAATTTCATGAAGCCCATTTGATTTCCCAAGAGTTGCACACACATAAATGCTGTTAAGGATCCTACCTAATGACTCACTCTCATAAGATTAGCTAAAACCAGAGACAAACAGTTGTTAGAGCCAGAAGAAACATCAGTTTCCCTTACTAGTATCTCTAAAACAGATTGACATGAGTCATTTTGAAGTCAGGTAAGATTTATTCACATGTTTTAATCCAATTTTGAAGACCACAATAGCGTTTATTAATTAAGCAGTATGTTGATGTAGTTTTGAATCAGGAAACACAAGATGAAGCAACAACCAACCACAAGACCATGTCTAAAACTACTAAAGGCTACCAAAGAATTGTTTTCAATGTGAGCAAGTTTTAATCAAATTATGGAATTGATAACCTAGTCAGAGCCTTGATGACCTGAAGCCTTGAACCTCTGGTTCAAGGAAGGACCACAGCCCAGACCCTCCAACTCCAGGTATCTCCTCAGAAAACTTAAAATCCTTCTTAACTAGCAAAAGCTTCCCAGGGCAGAATTGCCTCCTCAGCTTGGCACAGAGTCACTATTTTAGTCACGCAGCTACATTATTTGACCAGTTTAGTTTGGCAATGTTTCTGACAGGCACAGGAGCTAGATAAACAGGGAAAGGCAGTGCTGGACGTTCCTCTCATCGCTTCACAGACCTCAAGCTGAGGAGACCCATACATTAACTGCTGCTATATCCCCACAGCCAGTGAAGGAAATTGTTTGACTTAAGTCAGTATTGTCTTGAGCTAGGCTGCAAGCTCTTTCAGCACAACAGACCCCAAGGGAGAAGGTACAGAAGGAAGGTGACAGCTGCCATGGTCTTCATGTCTCAGAGGTACTCAACCTTCTCACTCATCACAGCCATTAGCTAAGCAAGCTAGGCTAGGACAACTTAACCCTTGCTTAACAGAGGAACTCCCAGAGGACACTTGCTTAACATTGCAGCCCCAAAAGGTAGCTTCATTTACATCTACATAACAGAGAATCCTCTCTACTCCTTTGTTACCCATTTGACCTGGAAAAACCTTGTTTGTCTGGAGAGGAGAGGTCCAGGCAGGTCAGCAGAAACATAGACTAAGATAGGTTCAGCCTCTGCTCTGCTGTGGATCCCATAGATAACTCACTCTATATGACAGGCTTTCATAGCATTTGGTTTCTTCATTCTCAAGTCTGTAATCCAAGATGCTTTAAGCTATGCACCCAGCATGCTTTGATACACACCTTAGGTTAAGAAGTAGAGCTACCAGGCATTTCTCGCAGCGATAGCCTTGATCACACCACACTTAAGTTTCCTATTTTATAAGCTTGTCTACCTTAGGAATTATAAGAAAGTTATTAATATAGTTATTTCTCTCCAAGGAAGAAAGGATAATTAGCTAATTAAGTAAATTAATCATCTTAAGTAAGAGAATAATTTAGAATTCACCATGCCCTTCGAGTCAGAAGTTGCCTGTTAAATTTCCTACAACTATACTCTTATTCGAGATATTATGCACTATAACACTTACCTCTCCACAAGAAAGAGCACAAGACTTGTCAAGAGTTACAACAGGAACAGGCCAGACGCAGGTCTGGCCTCTCGTTACACTAGACCCTAATGAAATGGTTTCAATTAAAATAGTAAAAAAAAGTTCACATCACATACTTAAAGGCTTAGTAGTATGAAATATATGTTAGATTTTCATCTTATTGCCACTAATTTCCAAGAAAGTAATTCTGAGCAAATAATTCCCTTCAAATAGAAGTTCATTTATTTAAGCATTATCAAAGGAGAAGTATTCTCGAAGCACTTCATTAGATACCACAACTATTTCCTGCAGCAGAACCATGCACAGAGAGCATAACCTATCAAAAATCACAAGGTTAACACACTTGACAGCTGCACTGCAAAGTTGAAAGCAAACCACAACAGAAGCTCTAAAGCCTCTCTCTAGGTACACACAAACAAATAAACAAAAGGAACTTACATAAATCAGATCTGTCACAACAAGCAGCAACCACTTCCTCCTCAACTACCCCTTTACTTCAGATGCCTCAAGAGACCACATCCATTCTGCCACTGCCCCTTTTATCCCCAAACCTCTTCCAGTGCAGCTTTGTTTCCTCTACCTATTTGTCAATCAGTGGAAGCTAACCAGGTCAGTCATACCAACCAAGGTGTCTAATTAAACCCAGGTGTGCTGAAAGAGCCATGCTAATGGAATTAATACGACTCATTATGCTGGGAATCCTCAGGTAACTTCTAAAACTTGCTATGCTTATGCTCCAGTTCAGTAAAGCACTGGATCCCTACAGCCCCTGATGCAGCCACAGGGATCTCTGCTAGTTTTTCTGGCTGGTTTTGAGATGCAGCCTTACATAGTGTGTTGCAAAGGTATAATTGTACAAACACCTGGACGCCTGTGGCAAGACATGTATTGAAAGAAATGTCCTCATTTTAGTGTTGCAGAAACACTGCTGTTGGTGTCCGATTTCAGCTGTGTTAGAGGCAGAGCATGCATGTGGGGAGAGAAAACTGGAGCTTTTTCTTTCTTTACCTTCCCCCAATCCTTGTTGCTGTCAGGAAGGGAACCAAGAGTGACAATCATCCTGTTACGTTCATTTCTGGACTGAGACGACGCACAACTCATTTCACTTTTGC